CATCCTGAATGTGTTAATAAAGATGTGGACAACAGTCCAAACAATGTAAATAGTGTAAATAGTTACAATGCCTCATCTGAGAAATAGAGACAGATGTTGAAGGTGAATCTGGCAATAAAGATGAGGACAACAGTCCAAACAATGTAAATAGTGTAAATAGTTACAATACCTTATCTGAGAAATAAAGACAGATGTTGAAGATGAATATGGCAATAAAGATGAGGATAACAGCCTGAACAATGTAAATAGTGTAAATAGTTACAACACATCTCAGAAATATAGACACATCCTGAAGAAGGCCTGCGCATAATGTGGCAATAAAGATGAAGGCAACAGTCCGAACAGTGTAAATAGTATAAAAAAATCTTGTTTTCAGTAATTTGATTATTTTTCACTGGCCTTTCAAGTCAGGTTTAGTATTCTCTCTGGAGATATTTTGGTTACATCTACATCTCTTCACCTCTTCTTTTTATCTTCTACCAAACAACTGCTACTGATGTGACAGGTTTTATAACCAGTTCCTCCCTCCCTCACTCTAACTGGGACTTCACCTATATAAAGTTTCAAGCAGTAATTTTTAACTTCCAAGTGTCACTTAATCTCACAAGTTTTCATTTATTTTATTCCTTTTGGTCAAGTGGGTGGCCACTTTGAAAACCACATTTCACAGACCTTATTGCCAGTCATAAAACACAAAATGCTTTAAACACAGATGACACCATTTTGAATGCACTGTGTGTGTGTTCAGCCGGTCATGTAGTGGGGAGATCTCTTGTGCCACTGATTAACATTTTTATTTCTGACATCTTTAAAAGAGCTTTATGTTCAGGCAAAGCATAAATACACAACGGCAATAGTGTGAAAGAACTCTTTAATTGACTAAGGTTCGAATCCCATTCTGGATTAGGATGTCAGTGTGACATCTTGTCCTTGATGTCATTTCATAATTGTTTAGCAGTGCCCAACTCCTTTCCAAATGTTTTGTATCATGTAGTATATTTTCTATGTGCCAAGTCATTTCAAGACATGGATAATCATGGCTCTCCACAACTTCCTATTCTTTGTATATTAGTCTTTTTATTATCCCTCACCTCCCTGTTTTGCTATCCTTTCACATACGCTCATCAGGTAGATGATCCACTGCCACCTCCAAAAACATATCAAAGGCAAATGGGAAGGGTAGTATATAATACTAAAAAAATGTATTTTTTTATATAAATATAAACTGACTACTGATTAGCATATTGGTGAAAAGACTATAGACAAGATGACTGACAATGGGACAAAGCACAGGGTGAGTTGGATTCATGCTTTTTGAAGACCATTTTTTCAATGATATCAGTAGTGTTGGTTAGATTTGAATTCTATTCACTGATTCTTAAGCATTAAACCACCTTGAAATTTTGGCAAACATGGATCTTTGGGCCTGCAAAAAAAAAAACTGTCAAAAGAATGGTTTTTCCCATGACACTACTTTTATTTTAACTACTCTACAGCAATTTTTACTATTTTACTCAGCAATGATTAGAATTTTAATAAAACCTAAACATATGATGAAAGTGAATTTATACATTTTTTTTGTTCATGAGAATTTACAACAAAAATATTAAATACTATTTATTTATTAGATTTACAAGAATAATTTTATATTTACATTCTAAAAGAATGACTTGCACTTTGCATTTACAAATTTATAAATAAATATGAAAACAATTTTTTATTCATAAATTTATAAACATTTACTAAATTATTAAAATATATAAACCATTTATAAAGAAATCCTTATGATTTACCATTTTATAAAGTTTGAATCGATTGGCAATTAACCAATGTTTTGCCAACCATTCCAATAAACAGTCTAATAAATAAATAGTGTTTATTATTTATTGTTGTCAATTCACAAGAACAAAGAAAATGTATAAATATCATTTTCATATGTTTAGGTTTTATTAAAATTCTAATCATCAGTTTTTAAAACGATAAACATTGCTGAAGAGTGAAGATAGTTAATATAATCGCAATGTCAAGGGAAAAACTGTCCTTTTGACACAACGTTCTTTTGTGGACATGAAAGTTCATATTTGCCTAAATTTTTATAAGTTTTACTGATTGAAAGCGAACTTAAAAACTAATCATAGAAATTATAAGTGACAAAATAAAAATGGATTAGAAAATTAGATCAATATTGTTTGTAGATGAAGTTATTAACATAATTCAAATCCTTTTTCTTTCTTTTTTTTTTTTTTTGTTCTTGAAACGATTCAAGATGATGACTTTTCCTTATTTGGAATTTGAACCAGAATCTTTAAGTTTCCCAAATAACATCTTTTTATTCATGATTCATAAACTATTTTCAATCATTTCCATTTTATATGGCTGAATATTTGATTTTTACAAATGCAAATGTTTACTCGTAGAAAAAACCTAACTCAGATCAGGTAAGTGAAACCAATCCATAATCCCACCAGTAACAATTTTCAATTATGGTTTTGGGAAGAAACTGCTTCTTTTGTTTATGTTGCCTGCTAAAATTCTGAATCACTTTTGGCAGGACACCATTTTTTATGCTGTTTTATTTCTTTAACCCAGCTTTTCTGCATTAGTCCATCCAAATTAAAAACCAAAAAATGACTCATTTAAAAAGAAAATCAGTAAAGAGGATAAACATCTGCAAAAAATTTCTCATTTAATGTTTACAATATCTCTTACACCAAAGCCATAAAGCATAGGTTTAAATATACACACACACACACACACATATATATATATATATCAACAAAATGAGAATGAATCAAATAGAAATTCAAACACTATTTACATTATTCAGACTATTGTCCTCATCTTAGTCGCCATATTTATTACAACGTTTCGGCCATTGTACACTCCGGCCTTCTTCAGGTGGTTGGAATGTTGAACTGAACCCTTTATTTCGCTCACTGGGGTAGACTGTCCTAGTTCCACATGCCATATTTAAAGGGTTTAGTTCGACATTCCAACCACCTGAAGAAGGCTGGAACATACAACGGACGAAATGTTGTTATAAATATGGCGACAAAGATGAGGAGAATGCTCCAAATAATGTAAATAGTGTACATAATACCTCATCTCAGAAATATAGACAGATCAATTCAAATGTTCATAATATTAATTCAAAAATCGGACTCAATACACTAGTAGATCAGTATTCTTTATTATAGGATATTACATTAGAACGTGTAAAACCGTTACATAAATGCACTTATGTTTCGATGCATATCATTGCATCTTATAAGGCAGTAGTAATTGAGGATTATTATATATATATATATAATAAAAAGGCTTAAACACTAATATTCCATGGTCATAATTTATTCCATTGGAATCGTAAATATGATCCAATTTATCAGACCTACAAATTCAAAAAGAAAACAGAAAAAACAACTCCGGAAATAAAAAATAGAATTTAGTGAGAGTGTAAGTATGAGAGTGTGGGACGAATGTTAGAGCTAAAGAGAGGGGTAACAGACGAAAGAAGATGGGAAATATATTTTGCATATGTATGTGTATATTTACCACTAATGGCAAATGCCTTTGTAACATGTTTCATCCATTTGAACTTCATTAGACTGATGAAATAAGTCACAAAAACTTTTTACAATTTATCATACATCTTTCAAAACTGCTTTTGATATATAAAAATTTATATATTGTTATCCTATATATATATATATATATATATATATATATATATATTTTTTAGTGAATACTTGTATTTGAGTAGACACTCCATTTATTTATTAAACAATATATTTATTTATTTTCATCTACCAGCCTGAATATTCAACAAATCTTATTAGAGAAAAATATGTGCTCTCCGACAGAATTAAAATTTGCATTCCCTTAGGAGAAACATTCATTAGATCTGGCATGTTTTTAATAAAAACTTGTCAGATTAATAAATAAAAAATTCATTCTGTTCCTTTAAATACAGATTTCTTAAGAAGTAATATTTTTCTTTCATAATATTTCTCAAATATTCAGGTCAGTAGACAATAATAAATATGCTATTTATGGACATAAAAAAGAAAACTGTGTGTCTACTTAAATATAGGTATTCACTAAAAATAATGTTTTACACAAACACTTCATTTTCTAAACACTAAAATATCAGATAAGATTTTATTGAACTTTTCATAAATTATTTGGTAATAAATAAAATCATTTAAAAATTTTTTTTTAATTTTGTAGAAATATTTTTAGGTTTGTCATTGAATTAAAAACACACATAAACATAATCTGAGCTTAGCAATAAAACTGTAAATTTGGAGACAAAAAAATAAACAATAATTTTTTTAACTCTAAAAATTAATTAAAATTTTATTGGATTTTGGGGAGGAAATTTTTACTGTAATAAATAGAATTCTTTTTTAAAGCTTTATTTCTTTCTAAGAAATATTTTTAGGTCCATCATTGAATTAAAATATATGTGTACATATTCATGTACATATACACACAATTTGAATGAAATTGAAGTAGACATCAGAGTTGTGAGGACTAATTTCCCTTTCTATTTGGCAACAACCCTAGGAAACAAGAAAAGTGTATAAGCCAAAATATATATCATTTTTATGACTCCTTAAGTATTTAATATGAATATATTTTCTAATAAATGTAGTATTTTAAATCGACAATTTAGAAATTTGATCATCTTGCTGTCAGCAAAATGACAGATATCAAACTAGTAACAATAGAAAAGAAATTAATATGGCTAAATGGATGTTAAGAGATTTTGCAATAAAATACATTGATTAAAGATTTTTTTTTTTTTTTACTAACTAAGCAAGCAAAGCTCTTCCTCTTGTCGCTTATTTCTTTCTGCCTACTCTGACCTTTGATTACCTGCACTACAACCACCAACGCCATTTTCAGTCCATCTTGGTCCTCCTGACCCTATGTTCTGTCCACTCCACCCACCAAATTGCTAATCCACTCTTGCATTGCTGTCTCTCCTATGTTTTTAGAGAATCCATGTGAAGAAGGTATGGTCCCCAAATCCTAATTCCTCTCCAACCCTGGAGAATGGCATCCACCAATCAGATGCTGAGGTGAGTAATCTGACCTGTGCAATTGCTGGGGGGCAGGATGGGATATCTCTTCTCGCCATTTACCTTCCAAACACGTGATTAGCACTCTGTCAGTGATTAGCACTCTGTCAAGGGACTGCTAATAGTTCCAACCCCCACCCAGCCAGCCTTATATTCCAAATGTACACACAGTATTATCTCTGTCAAAGATTGACAGAGATTTCTTCTTTTTTTTTTTAGGGTTATACATTTTTCTGTACACCAGCATTCCAGGCTCTCACAATATAAAGAGACTAAAACACTGTAACCACAACCCTGTACTATCATTGTAGGTACATCTGAATGCCAAAGCATGCAATTATAAAACACAATATAGTTGAGTTCTACAGTTGTTAGATGATTTGTAGTAATTCTTTAAGACAAATGCAATATTAACAGTCACTCCTCACTTAACAGTCAATCGGTTATGTGCCATGCATGAAACACACTTTAGATGCTTAAACTTAATTCACATTAAAATCAGTCTGAGTTATTGAAACATCCTTTAGAAGTGAACATTAAGATTAATACCTGTACCTGTAACAGCATTCACCCAGGGTGAGTTAAGCCGGCTCCAATATGTGTAGTTTCATGGGAATTTGGAATTCACAAGCAGTCCCCAACCCGCATGTATAGCACATGAGATTTGATTATAGTGGTGAAGGTTTCGTGCAGGACCATCCATACTTTTTGAAGGGCCGATTACAGAGACCTGGTGCACTACGTACCACAAAGTCCCCAAACAACCCTCCACAGGTTTTGAATTCAGTTTTCCTTCTCCTAGACCAGTTGCCATCCAAGGCTATAGAACCCAGTCTGTCCTACTATTTAGCCATAGCTGGAGGGAGAAGAAGAGGATTTACACCTTTCCCAAGGGTATTAGCACGTAAGTGAATGTAATGGATTCGACTGGAATTTGAACTCGGCTCTCCGATTCCTCAATCCAAGCCACTATCCATTACTCCACCGTGCCTCCATTTAAGATCAATACTCTGTAGCAGCTGTTTTATGTTTAAATGCAATCTTCAGGCTTGAAGATTGTGTTTAAGCCTGAAACAGACTGTTAACTTTTACATCTACATATGCTTTATCCCTGATATTAAGCACTTTAACCTAATAAGTAAGCATACCTTAAAACTATATTTATTTGTCTAATGTTGAATGAAATGAAAAAAAGATAGGCCATCAAAAGGTAAATTAGTTGTTGAATCTCAACTGATCAGTATTATTAAAGGCCTTTACACTTCCAATAAAACAATAGAGGAATACAGCCAGTCAGTTATATGCCATACGTGATACACACTTAAGCAATCATGTATCTTTCAATACATGCCTGACAAGGCAGATTTTTTTCCCGCAGTAGGTTGCCATTTCTTTCTGCGGTAGACCAGTTGCCATCCAATGCTATAAAACCCGATCGGTCTTGCTATTTACCTTTGGCGGCGGGGGGAGAAGAGGATTCATACCTTTCCCAAAGATATTAGCATATCATTCAGTTAGTTATGTGCCATGCGTGATACACGCTTAGGCGATCATGTATCTTTTAATACATGACTGACAAGGCAGATTTTTTCCGACATTAGATTGCCATTTCTTTCTGCGGTAGACCATTTGTCATCCAAGGTTATAAAACCCAGTCTCTCCTGCTATTTACCCATAGCTGGGGGAGAAGAGGAGGATACATACCTTTCCCAAAGATATTAGCATATCATTCAGTCAGTTATGTGTCATGTGTGATACACACTTAGGCGATTATGTATCTTTCAATACATGACTGATGTGGCAGATTTTTTTCCTGCTGTAAGTTACCAAGGCTATCGAACCCAGTCTGTGCTGCTATTTACCCATGGCTGGGGGAGAAGAAGAGGATTCATACCTTTCCTAAGGGTATTAGCACATAAATGAATTTCAGTGAGTTATGTGCCATGTGTGATACAATCAATCTGAACCACTATCCACCGTAACATACATGTTTAATGACTCCACAGATTTATGAACGGCTATAGAATCTCATAAAATAAAAAATAAATCCATTCAAATTATATGAAACCTTTGATGGTGATTGGTTTATCTTTCTTCGAAATTTTATTCAAACTAAATAAAATGAATAATTAAAGAGAAAAATTAATAAAAATTTTTGTATTTACCGAATGCAAACCAAAGTAATGTACAGAATTTTAATTTGTTTTTGTTTACTGTTCTGAACATTACAGGATAAGCATTTAGAACTAAATCAAAAATGTCGCTAATCATGTATAATTGATATTAACCATTAGCACATACTAGCAGTATAACCCGTCTTTGGCTGGGTCTTTCATTAATGGGAATTTTTGCCGTTCAGTTGGAGCAGTTTAAGTTTAAAGTCAGCCCACTTGAAAATCAATATTAGTAGCAAATCCACAAATGGGGGTGGAATTAACAATTTGAAGTGGGGGGGGCTCTGAAAAGGGAATTGTATAATAATAAATAATATTTTTGTAAGAATTTGAACTATTCATTTTTATTAAAGTTTTTATGAAAGATATATATCCAAGAATAGACAGTAAATAGTAAAACATTGCTGAGAGTTATAATGGACAGGAAGTAGTGGAGAACTATTGTCACCAACAATTTGGACTCAAAACCGGCACTGAAGAATTATCTATCAAACAAAAAAAATTTGATCAAAGTCGGATAAAAACTGTGGAAATGCATAAACAATATCCGATCACACAGACACACACACACATATTTTGAGAATTATAGATGTAGATTACTTCCCTTTCCACTGCATTCTTTGTCAAGGCCTCTCAAGTACAGTATCCTTACTGTTAATTTCAAGTTGTTTTCTGTTGCCATAGCAGGATATGACAACACATCTATGAAATTCAAACAAATTCAAATTCAGGGATCAGAGTCACCTTCAGTGGCAGGATAAACTTTTTGTACAGCAAATGAAGTCACATACAGAGTGATAAAGGTTAAAGCTTTCTGAAGCCTGTTGACACAGACCTATTACCCACATAGCATTCCTGAAATAGCAGTCATGTACAATTTTTCACTTAGTGACCAACTGATTCACTTAGTGAGCAACTGGGTCATTGGAATGAAACCCAGTCATTAAGTAAGGTATAGCTGTATTAAAATCCAGTTAAAAAATAAATTCTGTTTCAAAATATTCGTTAAAAAACAAATCATAAATTAATTAGTGTTGTTTAAATAGACTTCACCCTTTTTCTATATTCTGTTTTTAAAATTATCAAAATATTAAGAAAAGCATGAACCTTAACTATCCACTTCCCAATGTCTATTGGATAAAATTCACTGGCATACATCAAAAGGATATATATATATATATATATATACACAGTGTAACCCGGATATAAGAGAGTTGTTGGGACCCGAGAAGAAGTCTCTTATATCCGGGTTTGGTCTATTTTGTTTAGGTAAGTATGGGAATACTTTGGGACCAGAGAAAATCTCTCTTATATCCGGGTCTCTTATATCCAGGTTACACTGTATATATATATATATATGAAATGGACAAAATCCAACAATTATTTTAAGACATTTTTATGTTTATACATTCTTTTTTATAGATGCAAATATTTAAGTAAATGCTCTGTTTCTAATAAATAGTATTAACAACATTTACCGGCCTAGATGTCTGAGAAATTGTCATAGAAAATATGCATCCTCCGACAGAAACCAAACCTGTATCCTGTACGGGACCATCATATAGCCTGACATGCTTTTACCAATTTTGCCACAGAGAAGTGTTCAGTTAGCAAGGTCGATTTTACTGTTTTTAAACTACAATTTTCCATGATTTTCTCACTTACATTCATATCTGCTCAATGCATATCTAAATGTAAACAAATGATGTCACACATTATGAAATGGACAAAGTCTGACAATTATTTTAAGACATTTTTATGTTTATACATTCTTTTTTATAGATACAAATATTTAAGTAAATGCTCTGTTTATAATAAACAATATTAACAACATTTACCAGCCTGAATGTCCAAGAAATTGCCATAGAAAATATGTCTTAAAATAATTGTCAGACTTTGTCCATTTCATAATGTGTGACATCATTTGTTTACATTTGGATACGCATGAAGCAAATACGAATGTACATGAGAAAATCATGGAAAATTGTAGTTTAAAAACAGTAAAATCAACCTTGCTAGCCGAAAACTCCTCTGTGGCGAAATCGATAAATGCACATCATGTTATATGATGGTTCTGTATAGGATACAGGTTCCATTCCTGCTGGAGGACGCATTTTTTCTATGACAATTTCTTGGACATTCAGGCAAGTAAATGTTAATACTGTTTATTATAAACAGAGCATTTACTTAAATATTTGTATCTATAAAAAAGAATGTATAAACATAAAAGTCTTAAAATATATAATTATGTCTTATTTTAATACTTATACTCAGGCAGTGTGAAAAAAAGCCACATAGTATAATTTGTAAATAAAAATATATTTGAACAAACCTATATCAGGAAAAAATAATTCAGTAAAAATAGAAAAGACTAAAGACATCCATGTTGGTTGAAAATAATCAATCAGCACCGCAATGCCTAGTCAAAAGAAAAAACACCAACAGAGTAAATTAAAAGTGAAAACATGCTCAATGCACTAAGTAGAGCAAAATCTAAAAAATCTAATGAGCCAGAACCTACCTACCTACCTACCTACGAAGGTTTCACCTAATGAATCTTCAGGGTATTACTGGCTAATACCCTGAAGATCTATTATGTGAAACCTTAGAAGGTAAGTTCTGGCTCACTAGGTTTTTATATATTCTTCAGTTTAAATGTTTTAAAATGAATTTAAAATTCTGTTAAACTCTGTTCTTTTTACAATAACCATTGTACAAGTTAAACATTTTTTGAAGGTGGGCATGTAGACTAGAATTCACAAATGCTGGTTTATGTAACACTTCACAGCCACTTTTAACACGGCTTACATGCACAGTTTTTTTTTT